TGCGGGGGCGGGGCGGGGCGGGGGTCAGGAGGGCGCAGACCCGGGCTTGCCTGCCTTCCCAGCTGGGAGGCCGGCCCATGAGCCTCAGGCCCATGACAAGGGGGCGGTCGCCCTAACGGGTGGCAGCTCTGCCATAACTCAGGAGCGGAACCCTGCGGTGCCTCAGTTTCCCCAGATGCACTCTGGGAGAGGCTGAGCCGATTGTTCCCGGAGGGGTTACCCATCCCCGGGGCTCTTTTCTGGGTGTGTGTCTGCTCTGGCCAGGGCTGGGAGCAGGTGTCCTTCCCAGAGTCCACCGAGGTGAGGCAGGCCCTGTGCCCCTGGGCCGGGGGTGACATCAGGCAGCAGGCCACGTCTCTGGACCAGAAGTACGTGTAGCAGAGCAACAGAGCCAGGGTTTACCAGGTTCATGAAGGGGGTCCTTGGGGTGTCTCCCAGGATGACCTCCCCACTCTGAGCTCCAGAACTCCTTCCTGTCTAGCTTGACTCCTTGCTATAGCCGGGTCCACTGTGGCTTGGCTGAGGAGAGGTAGGAGGGGAGCTACACCTTGCATGATCCCACCCCAGGGAGGAGTTTGGGAGCAGGCAAGAGGGAAACCAGGGAGAGATTGGGGGTGGGGAGAGGCGTGCATGGAGGAAGAGGCAGGGAAAGTGGGAGATGAGAAGGGGATGGAGAAAGATGGACTCTCCAGACTGTCCCCCTCCCCCACCTCCTACCCACCCTCGGCCTGTGCAGCAGCTAGAGGGTCTGATCATGTCACCCCTCAGGGAACTGACCCGCCCCACTCTAGCAGCCCTTCCTCTCTACACCCCCCACATCCTTTCAGAAGGGGGGCTCCAGGCAGGTGATGATCAGGACAAGGAGGCGACCCATTGTGACTGTCCACCCAGTACTGTCAGGGTGGGGACCTTCCTAGGGAGATGGACTAGTTACCGACCTACGGGAAGCCCATTGATCCCAGCCCTTGAGGGGCTGGACAGCAGGCTTGGGGACTCATGTTCCAGCTAAGCCGGAGTCCTCAAGCAAAGGACAGCATCCTACCAACCCTGGCACAGGGCTGGGTGTGGGGCCAAGAGCCAGGGCCAGGGCTGGAGGTGTCCACTCCAGGATACCCCTTGAGGCCTGGTTTGGCATGGATGGGCACTCAGCAGAGGGTGGCTAGGAGCAGCTGTGTGACCTTGGGTCAGTTCCTTCACCTCTCTGAGCCTGTTGCAACCTGGGTGGGAATCTCCAGCCTCACCTTTTACCAACTAACTGTGACCCTGGGCAACTGACTTCACCTCTCTGTGCCCCAGTTTCCTTCTCTGTACAGCCTTACCTCATAGCGTTGTAGTGAGGGATGAATGACCACGTGGAAAGCCCGTAGCTCAGTGCTGGGAAGGCAGCAAGCGCTGCATCAGCATTTGCTACTGTTACCACCTGTTGTTATTATTATGGATGCAGAAAGATCAGCTCAGTGTCTCTCACATGGTAAAGGCTCAGGAGATGGCATCTTAAACATTAAAAACATCCATCCTTCGAAGAGCACATCACAGCCATCAGTTATGACGACAAGGGTCCCTATTTCTTTATATGGAAAGATAACAAGTCAAAAAAGCAGTTTACCAAAGAGAGTGTGCATCATGGTCCAGAGGTGAGCATCGAGAGTGTGCATCTGCAGATATTTGCATCACAAAAGCTAGCAAAATGTTGACAGACATTATCCTAGGGCTTGGGGATGTGGGTTCTGGCCTTTCTTTTTCTTTCTCGCCTTCCTGTAGTTTCTAAAGATGAGACGATGTGGGAAGAGAGGGTCGGCTAAGGGTCCCTGGGCAAGTAGAGGACCTCTGGAACCCGGCGTACCAGGGTCGGGACCTGAGCTGTTTCCGCAGGTGGCACCCCCTGGCTGGTCCCCGCCCTTGGTGAGGTGGAGTCTCCAGCAGCCCTGTCCTGCAAGGAGGCAGCAGAGCAGGGAGGACTTCTGTCTGTCCTTGATGTTCTGTGTGGCTGGAGCAGGCCCTGCCCCTCTGTTGTGGGATGAGGGAGGGGACAGGGCTGGCCAATCTCTCAGGTCCTCAGCTTGGAGGCTTTGTGACCTTGGGGACAACTCAGGAGGTCAAAGGAGGCCTGGGTCACAGACTTGGCCCTGGCGTGGAGCACCCAGCCAGGCCTCCCACCTGTCGGGGCCTGCCTGCCCTCCCTCTGTCACCCTGGCCCAAGTAATTCAAATGCAAGGACGTCCTGGGGAAGCATGTGGGGACACTGCCTGCTCTGCCCCAGGCACCCCAAGCCTGCAGGACCCCAGTGGGCTCCAGCCTTGGGACACATTGCCTTGGGTCTCTGAACCTCAGTCCCAGGGAGAAGTACCCTCTCTCACTGGGGTGCAGCTGATGCGTGGGCACCTTTGTGGGCTCTGAGTCTTGCTCAGTGAAGACGGCCATTCTCCTGACCCCCTGATTCCCCTCTGGACTTCCAGGTCTCCTTGCTTTATTTTTTCCGCAAGTTCTTATCACTAACAAGCTACACATTATATATTTATCCTGTTCATCTGATTCCACTATCCCGTAGGCTCTGTGAACTGGGATGGCTGTAGGGTGTCCAGGAGGCCTGGGTGATCGGTGTATATAGAGTGCCCAGAATAGCACTTGGAACATAACTATGTGCTGAGTGGATGGAGGCGGGCACCAGCAGCCACACCCAGTGTCCTAGAGGCTCACCTGGGCAGGTCAGCAAGCTTGGGCCGGCAGCTTCGGGAGACACAGCGCTACCAGAAGCACGGTCCTGAGCACCCACCAGTCCTCTGGCCACTGTTGGCCCACACTCTAGCCTCAGGGCCCAGGTCCTGCCCAGAGCTCTGATGGGTCCAAAGTCCTGCCCGGGGGTCCCCAGGTCTGCAGCACCCTTCCCAAAAACAAAAACCCAGCCTTGAACCCTGGACCTGGGCGCTGGACCAAGCCAGGTTTGTGTGCTGAATGTGCCTTGGGCCCCAGAGGGAGCAGGTGTGGGGGAGGCTGGAGCCCAGAGCTCCCCTATGGCAGCCCCACAGGTTGGGCCAGCCCTGGAGGTGAGGAGGGGAAGGGGCCGCAGCGCTTGAGGCCAATCAGATGCCAGCCTGGGGAAGCTTTACCCTCCTGACGTCACCAACTTGGGCCACCCGTGTTCACACACATGTG